AATTGCCTACTCTGACATTAGATTTCTTACAGCTGGATAAATAGTGACATAATAATGTCATATTTGCCCAGGGTAAAAAAAAAAAAATGTGATGGAGGCTTTTGTACAATTTTCAGCTTTCTGCTTCTCTGTAATAAAAGGCTTTTTCTGACTTTGAGATCTCTCGTATTTATGTGGCCAGTGTTCCAGATCAGAAAATGGGAGGGCCTTGCAAGGGCCAGTGTTCCTGGACTAATAGACATTTCCAATTAATTGGAAAGAAATTTTCAGTGCTGCCAAAGGTCTGAGGAGAAGGAAGACCTAAACCCTGCCAAGTGTTATATCCAAGGCTGTTGGTGCCAGTTTCAGGTGACATGTGTCACCTGGCAGCCCTTCGGCGCACTCAGGTAAAGGTGCCCTCCTGCGGTGTTTAAACTTGTCTTAAGGACAACATTCCTGGAGTGGGGTAGCAGTGAGGGAGCAGCCGGGGACGATGCATAGCTCGGAGGGGCCGCCCCAGGCTCCTCTGCTCGGCCTGCCTCGACACCGGCCTCGGAGGCGGGCAGGGAGTGGAGGTGGGGGACCCCGAGCGGGTGCTGACCGACCTTCCCGGGCTCCGGGCCGGCTCCGTGGGCTCGGGATGGAAAGCCCTGGGGACCAAGGAAGTCTGGGCACAGTCCCATCTAGCGGCGACTTCCACTTCCCTGCTCTTGACTCCCCGCCCTGCACACAGCGCACTCTGCACCTGTATTTCAAATAGTTTAATTTTAAAAATATTCTATTCAGTGCTAAAATAACTTTCCACTTCCACGCGCGGCCGCGCCTTCGGCTTCGCCAGGCTGGATCACAGACTGGGCGGGACATGCAGTGGCGGCGGGGGGGGAGCGGGGCTGGGGGGCAGCGGGGTTTGGGGGGAGCAGAGCCCCGGGCTGGGAGCACTTCCCGGGGGCTCCGGCACCTGCCGCGCGTCCTCCCCGTGCCGGGGGCGGCGGGTACGAGGGGCAGGGACCCCCGGCACAGGGCAGCAGCTCCCCCTGCTCTGCCGGCTCCCGGGGGGCAGAGCCAAGGCCGGCCAGTACCTGCCCTCCGGGAGGGGAAAGCCCTCCCCTCTCTCCCAACACCAATGGCTTAAACCAGCAGCTTATTGCACAGCGTCCCAGCGGGTCCCTGCCGGCCTCCCCCCACTGTCCCCCGCCCCCAGCACTGCCTGCGCCCACCACAGAGTGGAAATATCACCTGGAGCAGGCGGGAGGTGGCTCTCCTGTTCCCAGCGCCCAGGGAAGGGCAGGCAGGGCAGCCACGAGCAGGCAAACAGCATCTGCCAGACCCCAGGGACCACAGGAGAGCAGGGAGCCCCATGGAGAACCCCCCACCCCACGCGTGCAGCCCACCCAGCGGAGCCCCACAGCTCGAGGGCATGGAGCAGGGAGAGAGGGAGCCAATAAATAGAGGCAGATTCGCAGGTACTGGCGATGGCCCCATCCGTCGGGCAGGGCAGGGCAGGGCAGGGCGGGCTGGATGCGAGTGGTGGGAGCCCCGACGCTGGGGAAGGGGCAGGCTGGGGGGAAGCGCCGGTGCCGGGGGCCAGGCAGCTCTGCGAGGGGCTGGCGAGGGTGCCGGGCCGGGCAGGCTCAGCTCTCCGAGGCCGTGTGGCACACAGAGTTCTGGTCGGCACAAAATCTCTTCAGAGGCGGCGCACCGGAGTCCTCCTCCTCTTCAGTTACCTGCGAGAGTCAGAGGTCATGGGCAGTGACACTGAGCCACGCACAGCCAGACAAGGCTCTGTCACACCCTGGGGACACCCCAGGCTGTCACCTGTATGCAAACCCCAGGGTACCAGCAATGGGAACCCACTCCAGCCTGGAGCCCCCCACAATTGTCGTTTTCCCAAACCCCAACATCCTTCCGTGATCCTTCCCATCCACACTTTAAGGCCTGATGTGAACCAGGGGACAGCTTAGGAAGCCAGAAGATTTCGAGAGTCCCTTGGGGGCACTTTGGGACTGCAGAGCAAGTCCATCCATCCAGATGTTTCTGGTGCAGGGAGCAGCAATGAGGGTGAAAGAGGCTGTGTACATTTAGAGGTAGTTTCGAAGCCCTTCCCTTACCTGAGTCTCAAGGGGGACTGGCTCTTCCTTTGTGAGAGTGGGAGGCTCATCTGCCACTTCTGAGGAAGGCAGGGAGGGCTCTGGGGAGAACAGAATGGTTCACAGCAATGCAGACCCAGCACCCAGCTCAGTGCTGAGCCAGGACAGGACCTTCAGCAGAAGACACAAGTCCCCACTGCCCTGTCCACTTCCTCAGCCACACACCGGACCACCAACAGCTCCAGTGTGGCCATCCCCGGGCCCTGCCATTCCCCTGCTCCCTTCCCAGCCCAGCACCCACCTTCCAGGGTCTCCTGCCCCAGGGTGGGGGGCTGCGAGTCGTCCGTGCGGAAGTCGGACGTGTGGGCAGGACTCATGGACTCGCTCTGCTGGGGACTGGGGCTGGAGTTGGGGCTGCTGTCCACCTTGAGCTGGTACACGTCGGACAGGGAGCTCTGGTTGCTGTTCTCATCTGCAGAAACAGCACCTAGTGAAGGAGAGCACCTTGACCCGGGGGCATGGGAAGCCGAGTGCGGCACTGTGAGCCGGGGTCTCGCCGAGAAAGGCAGAGCACTGTCAGAGGAGTGGAATGGGGGATTCACTGTGCCCTGTCAGCACGAGGGCTGCTGGGCACAGGGCTGTGCACCAGGACACCAGGGGCATCACAGACACAACTGGCCAGGGGAGAGGGAACAAGTCTGAGCAGACAGACCCCAGAGTGTGCAAAAAAAGCAGGACGCAAAGGGGCTGCACTGCCAAATCTTATGTCTGCAGTCCTTGAGGGCCCCGGGCCTCTGAGGGCAGGAACTTCCTGTTTGTGTTACCAGGGTTTTGTTCCTTTTCTGTTTGCGATGCAGAATCAGCAGCGATGCTCAGCACCTGCCTCCAAATGGGGAGGCAGGCCTGGCACACACCTTCCCAAACTGCACACCTGCAGTACAACATCACTGCTTGTCTTGGAAAGGCCAGCACATTCCCTGGTTTTCCTTAGCCACACCAGGAGCCCAGAGAAGAGGCTGGGCACAGGACAGCAGCAACTCTGGCACTGCCAGAGCCTTGTCTGGCTGCACCACAGCACCTTGACCAAGAGCCAGGTCAGGGACATCCTCTGTCCCTTCATCCCAAGGTCCAGGGAAGTCACTGCTGGAAGCAGTGGGCTTGGCTGCAGGCATGCCTCTCCCCAGCAGTGAGTGGAAAGGGGGAACAGGAACCCCCAGTCTTCCAGTTCCATGTGACGGTTCCCACAGGAAGATCCCAGAAACAGTTGATTAAGATTCCTTCTGACAGCAAACCCAAATACTTTGGGCAGGGACAGTCCAGAAGTAGATCAGCACAACCCCACACTGGAGAAAGACACTGCTCTTCCCCATCCAGACAGCACATACAGAACTGGCAATGTTCAGCCTTGGAGTCTTTCCCCAGGTCAGAGAGGGCTCAGCCAGACGCACCTTGGAACTCCAGGAGAAGGGAGGAGTTGGCAGAGGTGTCAGCTGGGAAGCCATTGGGTTCTCGAGCAGTGCTGCTGCTTGATTTGGATTTCTCTTTCTTGAGGAGAGAAAGGAAAGCACAAACAGGAGGTCAGAGGAGCACAGGCTGCTCCAGAGGAGCCCTTCCCCTCTCTGTCTCCAGCAGCACAGAGAGATGTGCTCAAGTCGGCCTTTTCCCTTCCCTTTGGGGGCACTTCACTAAGTGAGAGGCAAAACTCTGGCTGTGGAAAGCTAGGAATTGGGAGAGAGAAAAGGAGGTGATGCCTGTCTAGAAGTGACATTGAGATAACCAAGTCCTCGGGTGGTTTGGGCAGAGAGACTAAGGGGGAATGCAAAGGGGCTTGGGGGAGCTCAGGGGGCTCAGCAGGGCTGGGGGGACTCAGGTCGACTCATGGGGAGCTCAAGGGGGCTCCTTGGGGCTTGGTGGGCTCAGGAGGGTTCAGAGGGGTGCGGCAGGGGCTCAGTTCGGCTTGGGGGGCTCGGGGGTGGACTCGGGGTGGGCACAGGTGGGCTCTGGGGTCGGTGGGGCCGAGGGGGCTCGGAGGTCGACTGGGTGGCTCTGGGGGGCTTGGCAGGGGCTAGGGGGGATTCAGGAGAGTTCTGCAGGGCCTGGGGAGCGGCCAGAGGGCCTCGGTGGGCTCGGCAGTGGCTCGTTGCGGGGGGTGCTCAGGAGGGCTCGGTGTTCGGCCCGGGGCGGGGTGCTAAGGGAGGCTCGTCTCGGCTTGGGGGCGGCTGCTCCCGGCTCGGCTCCACGCGCGGTACCCACCTCCTTGCTGTCGGCCACCGGCACCCACTTGAATATCCGCAGGGACGTGTCTCCCACCGTCACCCACTTCTTCTCCCTGCGGGACACGGCGCTGCCAGGGGCGGCCTAGGGCGCCATGGCAACAAGCCCCGCCCCCCAGCACACCCCGATTGGCCTAGCGGAGCATCAATCCACCGCTCCGCCGCGCCGCGATTGGACCCGCCGCCCGCCCGTCACGGGCGCTCCCGCCCCCCTTCCCCACTCCCATTGGCCGCCGGCCCCGCGACCCGCGCCCGCTAGTTGGCCGCGCGCTCCCGCGTCCCGCCCCGCGGCGCGCTGATTGGCTGCGCGCGGGAGCGGCGGGGGCCCCTCCCATCCCGCGGGCCCGCCCCTCACCATCTGCGGACGCGCTCGATGGCCGCCATCACCTTCTTGATGTCATCCTTGGCGCGGCTGCGGGTCTCGGCCCGCACCGAGCGCCCCGACATGGCGCGCGCGCAGCCCCCGCAGCACCAGCCCCCGCCGCACCCGCCGCCGCCGCGCCCGGCCCCGCGCACGCGCCCTGCGCGGCCCGCCCGCGCGCTGCGCGTCCTGCGTCACCGCGCCGGGGCACGCCCCGCCCGCTGCGCCTGCGCAGGGTGGCCCCGCCCCGCTGCGGGTACGTAGCAGATGCGCAGACCACGTGACCTGCCGCCGCCATCTTTACTTGGGGCAAGTGCCGTCCCCGGCTCCCCCGAACACCCCGGCCCCGGGGCGACCCTGAGACCCCCGGGGAACGGGGAAACCCTGAGCGTGGAGCACCGTTACAGCACTACCTGGTCTCGTGCAGCAGCCATCCTCCCCCCATTCCGCATCAAAAATTGAGCTTGGGCAGCTCCCCTGAACACCAC